GGTGGCCGCGGACGGCGGTGGCCGCGGCTGGCCGCGGCGGTGCCGCGGCGGTGGCCGCGGCGGCGGCCGCGGTGCCGCGGCGGGCGGTGGCCGCGGCGGTGGCCGCGGGTGGCCGCGGCTGGCCGCGGGGGCGGCGGCCGCGTGGCGCGGCGGGCGGTGGCCCGCGGCGGGCGCGGGGTGGCCGCGGGCGGTGGCCGCGTGGCCTGGCGGGCCGCGGTGGCCGCGGCTGGCGAGGCCGTGGCCGAGGTGGGCCGCGGCGGGGCGGTGGCCGCGGAGGCCGGGGCGGTGGCCCGCGGCGGGCGGTGGGCCGGCGGCAGCGGCGGTGGCAGGGCGGGCGGCCGCGGTGGCCCCGAGGCGGTGGCCCGCGGCGGTGGCAGCGGCGGTGGCCGTGGCGGGCGGCCGCGGCGGTGTGGCGGAGCGGCGGGCCGCGGCGGTGGCCGCGGCGGGCGGGGCAAGCGGCGGTGGCCGCGGCGGGCCGTGGGCCCTCGGCGGCCGGGCGTGGCCCGCGGCGGCGGCCGGGTGGCGCCGCGGCGGGGGCCCGCGGCGGGAGCGGCCGCGGTTGGCACGCGGCTGGCGCGGCCGTGGCCGCGGGCCGGGCGGGCGGTGGCCGCGGCGGGCCGGGCGGTGCCGAGGCGGGCGGATGGCCGAGGTGGCCGGGCGGCGGCCGCGGTGGGCCGCGGCGGGTGGCCGGGGCGGTGGGCCGCGGAGGGGCCCGGCGGTGGCCGTGGGCGGGCGGCCCGCGGGAAGGTTGGCGGAGGCGGGCGCCGCGGCGGTGGCCGGGGGGCGGCCGCGGCGTTGGCCCGCGGAGGGCGTGTGGCCGGGCGGCCGCGGCGGTGGCCCGCGGCGGCGGCGCAGGTGGCAGCGGCGGTGGCCGCGGCGGTGGCCGTGGCGGGCGGCGCGGCGGTGGGGCCGCGGTGGCCGGGCGCGTGGCGCGGGCGGGGCCGGGCGGCCCGCGGCGGTCGCCCGCGGCGGTGGCCGAGGCGGTGGCCGGGCGGCGGCCCGCGGCGTCGCCCGCGGCGGTGGCCGCGGCGGTGCCCGGCCGCGGTGGCCGCGGAGGGGAGGCCGCGGCGGCGCGGCGGTGGCAGGAGGGGGCGGCCCGCGGCGGTGGCCGGGCGGGCGGTGGCCGCGGCGCCGCGGCGGTGGCCGCGGCGGTGGCCGCGGACCGCGGGGGTGGCCGCGGCGGGGGCCGCGGCGGTGGCCGCGGCGGGCGGTGGCCGCGGCGGATGCGGCGGTGGCCGCGGGCCGCGCGGGTCTCCCGCGCCGGCGCCCGCGGGCGTGGCCGCGGCGGGGCGGCCGCGGTGGCCGCGGCGGGCGGCCGCGGTGGCACGGGCTGGGCGGCCGCGGGGCGCGGCGGTGGGGCCGGGTTCGCGGTGGCCGCGGCGCGTGGGCCGCGGGGGCCCGCGGGCGTGGCCGCGGTGGCCGCGGCGGGCGGCCGCGGGTGGCCGCGGCCGGTGGGCCGCAGGCGGGGTGCCCGCCCGCGGTGGCCGCCGCGGCGGGCGCGGCCGCGGCGGGCGGACGCCCGGCCGGGCGGGGCCGCGGAGGGTGCCGCCCGAGGGGCCGGGCGGTGGCCCGCGGCGCCTGGCCGCGGTGGCCGCGGGAGGGTGCCCGCCCCCCGCGGTGGCCGCGGCGGGCGGGGCCCCCGGCGGTGGCCGCGGCGGGCGGCCGCGGCGGTGCCCGCGGCGGTGGCCCGCGGCGGGCCGCCCGCCGCGGTGGCCGCGGGCGGGCCCGCGCGGGGCCGCGGCGGGCGGGCCGCGGTGGCCGCGGCGGGCGGCCCGCGGTGGCCGCGGGGGCGGCCGGCCGCGGTGGCCGCGCGAGGTGGCCGCGGCGGGCGGCAGGCGGGCCGTGGCCGCGGCGGGTGCCCGGCCGCGGTGGCAGCGGGGGTGCCCGCCGGGGGCGAGGCGTGGCCGCGGCGGCCTGCCGGGGTGGCCGGGATGGCGGCGGCCGCTGGTGGCCGCGGGGGCGGCCGCGCGCGCTTGGGCCGCGGCGGGCGGCCGAGGTGGCCGGGGGGGGACGCGGTGGCGGCGGCGGGCGGCCGGCCGCGGGGGCCGCGGCGGGGCGGCCGGGTGGCCGAGGCGGGTGCCGCGCCGGCGGCCTCGGTGGCAGCGGGGTGGCCGAGGATGGCGCGGCGGGCGGACGCGGTGGCCGCGGCCGGCGGTGCGCGTGGGCCGGCACGCGGCGGCCCGCGGCGGTGGCCGCGGCGGCCGCGGCGGTGGCCGAGGCGGGCGGCCGAGGTGGTGGCCGAGGCGGGCGGGGGCGCGGCGGCCGCGGCGGGAGGTGGCCCGGGCGGGCGGGCCGCGGTGGCCGCGGGGCCGCGGCTGGCCGCGGCGGTGGCGGGCGGGGCCGCGGCGGTGGCCGCCGAGGCGGGCGGTGGCCGCGGGCGCACAGCGCGGGGCGGTGGCCCCGGCGGGGCCGCGGCGGTGGCAGCGGCGGAGGCAGGCGGCGGTGGCCGCGGCGGTGCCCCGGGCGGGTGGGCCGCGGGCGGGCGCCGGGCCGCGGCGGGTTGCCCGCGGCGGTGCCGCGGCGGCGGCCGCTGGCGGGCGGCCGCGGTGGCCGAGGCGGGTGCCCGCCCCCGCGGCCGCGGCGGGCGGCCGCGGTGGCCGGCCGGCCGCGGACGCGCCGCCTGGTGGCCGCGGCGGGCGGCGCCGCGGCGGTGGCCGGGGGGACGCGGTGCCGCGGCGGCAGGCGCGGTGGCCGCGGCGGGGTGGCGCGCCGGTGGGCCCCGGCGGGCCGGGGGGGGCGGCGGTGGCCGCGGCGGGGGCACGCGCGGTGGCCGCGCGGGCGGCCGCTGTGGCGCGGAGGCCCCGCGGCGGTGGCCGCGGGCGGCCGGGCGGTGGCCGCGGCGGCGCGGCCGGGGGCCGCGGCGGCGCGGTGGGCCGAGGCGGGAGGCACGCGGTGGCCGGGGAGGCCGCGTGGCCCGCGGCGGGCGGCAGCGGCGGTGGCGCGGAGGGGGGCCGCGGCGGTGGCGCGGCGGGTGGCATCCGCGGACGGTGGCCGCGGCGGGCCGGCCGCGGCGGCGGCCGCGGCGGTGGCGCGGCGGGCCGGCCGCGGTGCCGCGGGCGGCGCGGTGGCCGCGGCGGGCGGCCGCGGGGCCGGGCGGTGCCGCGCCGGGCGGCGCGGTGGCCGCGGCGGTGGCCCCGCGGCGGCCCCGCGGCGGGGCCGGGCGGGGCGGGCGGCGCGGGGTCGCGGCGGGTTTGCCGGGGCGGTGGCCGCGGCGGCCGCGGCGTCTCGCGCCGGGGGCCCGGGCGGGCGGCCGCGGGGCCGCGGCGGGCGGCCGCGCGGGGGCTCGAGGCGGGCGGCCGCAGTTGGCCGCGGCGGGGGCCGCGGTGGCCGCCGGCGCGTGGCCCGCGTGGGCCGCGGTGGCCGCGGTGGCCGCGGCGGGCGGCCGCGGTGGCCGAGGGCCGGTTGGCCGGCGGCCGGTGGCCGCGGCGGGTGTGCCCGCCCCCCGCGGGTGGCCGCGGCGGGCGGCGGCCGCGGCGGGGGGCGGGAGGTGGCAGCGGCGGGTGCCGCCCCCGAGGTGGGCCCGCGGCGGGCGCCCCGGGGTGGCCGCGGCGGGCGGGCCGCGCGGTGGCGCGGCGGGCGGCCCCGCGCGGTGGCCCGCCGAGGCGGTGGCGCGGCGGGCGGCGCGGTGGCAGCGGAGGGCGGCAGCGGTGGCCGCGGCGGGGCGGCCAGCGGTGGCGCGGCGGGCGGCCGCGGTGGCCGCGGAGGGTGGACGCGGCGGACGCGGCGGGCGGCCGCGGGCGGTGGCCGCGGCGGGTGCCCGACCCCGCGGGGCCGCGGCGGTGGCAGCGGCGCCTGCAGCGGTGGGCCGCGGCGGGCGGCCGCGGTGGCGCGGCGGGCGGACGCGGGGGCCGCGGCGGGGGGCGGCGCGGTGGCCGCGGCGGGCGGCCCGCGTGGAGCGGGGGGGGGGGCGGCGGCGCGGTGGCCGCGGCGGCGGCCCGGCGGCCGCGGCGGTGTGGCCGGGGGCCGCGGTGGACGCGGCGGGCGGCCGCGGTGGCCGCGGGCGGCGGCCGCGCGGGCGGGGGGCCGCGGCGGGAGGCCGCGGCGGGTGGACGCGGCGGGGGGCCGCGGCGGTGGCCGCGGCTGGGTGGCCGCGGCGGGGGACGCGGGCCGGTGGCCGTGGCCGCGGCGGCGGGGGCCGCGGCGGGCGGCCCCGCGGTTGGCCCGAGGCGGCGGTGGCCGCGGCGGGCGGCCGGAGGTGGCCGGGCGGTGGCCGCGCCGGGGCGGCCGCGGGGCCGCGGCGGTGGCCGCGGCGGTGCCGGGGGCGGCCGCGGTGGTCGCGGCGGGTTGCCGCGGCGGTGGCCGCGGCGGCGTCACGCGGCGGTCTACCCGACCGGGCGGCGCGGGGCCGCGGGCGGCCGCGGTGGCGCGGCGGGGGGGGGCGGCCGCGGTGGCCGCGGCGGTGGCGCGCCGGGCGGCCGAGGTGGTGGCCGGGGCGGTGCCAGCGGTGGCCCGCGGCGGGCGGCCTCGTGTGGCGGGAGGGCGGTGGCCCGCGGCGGCCGGCGGCGGGCGGTGGCCGCGCGGGCGGCCGCGGGGGCCGCGGGGGTGGCCGCGGTGGCCGCGGCGGTGGCCGGCGGCCGGCCGCGGCGGTTGGCCGCGTCGGCGGTGGCCGCGGCGGTGGCCCGCGGCGGCAGCGGCGGTGGCCGCGGCGGGCGGGCGCGGCGGGGCCGCGGCGGGGCGGCCGCGGCGGTGGCCGCGGCGGGTGCCCCGCGGCGGGGCCGCGGCGGGCGGCCGCGGCGTGTTAAGCGGTGGCCGGGCGGGCGGCCGAGGCGGTGCCGCGGCGGGCGGCGCGGTGCGCGGCGGCCGGCCGGGTTGCCGCGGGAGGCGGTCGGGTCGGCCCGGGCGGGGGGGGCCGCGGCGGTGGCCGAGGCGGGCGCCCGCGGCGGGCGGGCCCCCGCTGGCCGAGGCGGTGGCCCGGCGGGCGGCCGCGGTGGCCGCGGCGGGCGCCGAGGTGGCCGCGGCGGGCGGTGCCGGGCGGGCGGTGGCCGCCGCGGTGGCCGAGGGTGGCCGCGGCGGCCGCGGCGGCGCGGCCGCGGGGGCTGGCCGCGGGGTGGCCGCGGCGGGGCGGCCGCCGGCGGTGGCGGCGGAGGGGCCGCGGCGGGAGGCGCGGGCGGTGGCCCCGCGGCGGCAGCGGCTGGGCGGCGGCCGGTTGGCCGGGCGGGCGGCCGCGGCGGGAGGACCGCGGCGGTGGCCGCGGCGGCGCGGCGGGCGGCCGGGCGGTGACGCGGCGGGCGGCCGCGGCGGTGCCGCGGCGGCCGCGTCGGGCGGCGGGCGGTGGCCCGCGGCGGCCGCGCGGGCGGGCCGCGGGTGGCCGCGGTGGCCGCGGCGGGTGTTGCCGCGGCGGGTTGCCGCGGGGCGGCGGACGGGCGGCGGCCGGGTGCCCCGCGGCGCGTGGCCGGCCGCGGCGTGGCGGGGGCCGTGGCCCGCGGCGGCCGAGGCGGTGGCCGCGGGGCCGCGGCGGTCGCACGCGGCGGGTGGCCGCGGCGGTTGGCCGGGCGGGCGGCAGCGGCGGTGGCAGCGGCGGTGGCAGGGCGGGTGCCGCGGGCGCCGCGGCGGTGGCGCGGGCGGCCGCGGTGGCAGCGGCGGCCGCGGCGGGTGGCCGCGGCGGGCGGCCGCGGCGGGTGGCGCGGGCGGTCGGCCGAGGGTGGCCCGCGGCGGGCGGCCGCGGCGGTGGCCGGGGTGTGGCCGCCGCGGTGGGCCGGGCGGCTGGCCGCGGCGCGCGGCGCGGGCGGCCGAGGCGGTGGCAGCGGCGGGCGGCGCGGCGGCGGCGGGAGGGCGGCCGCGGTGGCGCGGGCGGCCGCGGTGGCCGTGTGGCCGCGGCGGCTGGCCGCGGCGGGGGCGGCCAGCGGGTTGCGCGGCGGCGCTGGCCGCGGCGGGCTGCGGCGGCGGTGCCCGCGGCGGTGGCCGCGGCGGGTGCCGCGGCTGGTGCCCGCGGCGGTGCCCCGCGGTGCCCGCCCCGCGGGTGGACGCGGCGGGCGCCGCGGTGGCCCGCGGTGCGGGGCGGCCGCGGCGGGTGGCCCGAGGCGCGTGGCCGGCGGCGGGCGGCCGAGGCGGGGGCGCTGGTGGCCGCGGTGTTGGGCCCGCGGAGGCCCGCTGGCGGGGTGGACGGGCGCGTGGCCGCGGCGGGGCGGCCCGGACGCGGGGGGCCGCGTTGCCGCGGCTGGGTTGCTTGCCGCGGCGGTGGCCGCGGGCGGCCGCGGCGGCCGGCCGCGGTGGCCGCGGGCCGGGCCAGCGGCGGCCGGCCGCGGGGGCCGCGGCGGGGCCGCGGCGTGGCCGGCGGGTGGCCGCGGCGCGGCCGGCCGCGGTGGACGCGGGGCCTGCCGCGGTGGCCGCGGCGGTGCCGCGGCGGCCGGCCGCGGTGGCAGGCGGCGGCGGCCGGGTTGGCGCTGCGGTGGCGCGGCGGCCGGCAGCTGCGGGGGCCGAGGCGGTTTGGACGCGGCGGCCGGCCGCTTGCGGTGGCCGCGGCCGTGGACGCGGGACGGCCCGGGGGTGCCGCCGCGGCGGCCGGGACGGCGGCGGTGCCGAGGGGGCCGCGGCGGTGGCCGGGTGGGCCGCGGAGTGGCCCGGGGGCCGGCCGGGTGGCGCGGCGGTGGCCGCGGCGGCCGGCCGACGGGTGGCCGCGGCGGCAGGCCGCGGTGGCCGCGGGGGGAGGCCGGCCGCGGTGGCCGCGGCGGCGGCCGCGGTGGCGCGGCGGTGGCCCCCGCGGCGGCCGCGGCGGTTGTGGCCGGGCGGGTGGCCGAGGGGCCGGCGCCGTGCTGGCCGCGGCGCGGCGGCGGCCGCGGTGGCCGGGCGGTGGGTGGCGCGGTGGCCGCGGTGGCCGCGGCTGCCGGCACGCTCGGTGGCCTCGCGGCCCGCCGCGCGGCCTCCGGGTGGCCTCTTGATTTGGCCGCGACAGGCCGGCGCTGCGGCGCCGGGCCGCGGGCGGCCAGGCCCGGCTTATGGGCCGCGGCAGTGCCGCGGTGGCCTGCGTCGGCCGCGTTGGCACTCGGGCCGGTGGCCGCGGCCGCCGCGGTTGCCGCGCGTTGGCCCGCGGGCCCTGTGGTGGCCGCGGCGGCCGCTGCGCCCGGCGGTGGCGGCGGCGTGGCCCGCTCTGCAGCGGCGGTGCCCCTCTGCGCTGGCCTCTAATTGCCGCGGCGGCGCCCGTTGGCCGCAGCGGTGCCCCAGCGGCGGCCCGCCGCTGTGTCCCGCGGCGGCCGCCGCGGTGGCCGCCGGGTGGCCGCGGCGGCCGGAGCGCGGTGGCCGCGGCGGCCGCGGCGGTGGCCGCGGCGGCCGAGGCGGGTGGCGCGGCGAGGCCGGCAGCGGTGGCCGCGGCGGTGGCCGCGGGGCGGCGCGGTGGCAGCGGCGGCCGGCCCGCGGTGGCCGCGGCGGTGGCGAGGGCGGCCGGCCGCGGTGGCCGCGGCGGTGGCCGCGCTGTTGGCCGGCCGCGGTGGCCGCGGCGGTGGCCGCGGCGGCCGCGGTGGGCACGCGGCGGGTGGCCGGGCGGCCGCGGTGGCCGCGGGGGCCGCGGTGGTGGCCGCGTCCGGAGCGTTGGCGCGGTGGTTGGCCCGCGCCGGCCGCGGTGGCCGCGGTGGTGGCCGCGCCGGGCCGCGGTGGCCGCGGCGGCCGCGTGGCCGCGGAGGCCGCGGCGGTGGTGCGCGGCGGGGCCGCGCCGGCCGGCCCCGCCGTGTGGCCGCGGCCCGAGCGGCCGGCCCGCGGTGGCACGCGCGGTGGTGGACGCGGAGGTGGGCCGCGCCGGCCGGCCCCGTGGTCGCGGGCGGTGGCCGCGGCGGCCGCGTGGGGGCCGCGGAGGTGGCCGCGGCGGCGCGGGCGCGGTGTGGCCGCGGCGGGGCCGCGGCGGCCGCCGCGGTGGCCGCGGTGGCCGCGGCGGGTGCCGCG